TATATATATATATATATATATATATATATATATATATATATCAAATATTATGTATTTAAAGATATAGGCCCAAAGCCTAGCCTAAGCCTGATTCGACCAAACCCACGATAACTCTTATTAGAGGGGTGCTCATAGTTCAGTTAACCAAACCGTGGGCTCTTTTTTTAAACTGAACCAGTACCACCTGTTTTTGCAATTCCCCTGAATTGAAATTGAACTGATATCACCGATTGACTGGTTTCAATTTTTGATCGATTCATTTCTTCAGTTTTTTATTTTTACATTTATAATATATAGTATAAATAAATATATATTATAAGTTCTATAAATATATTATATATTATATATTACAAATAGATAATTACAAATATATATATATATATATATATATATATAATATACACAAAAATATTTAAAATGGTCATTTTAGTTAACTGCCATTTTTTTTTTAAGTTAACCAAAAACTGGACCGGTCCTTCGGTTTTTCAAAAATACCAAAAAAATCAGTTCAATTAACCATATTTTTTGTTCAATTTTCTTGATTCATTTTGGTTTTTCAGTTTTTTATGAGCACCTCTAATTAAAAGGCTTTAAATATGGTTGTTATTAGAAAACCCCCTTCACTTTCTCCATTTCTCTTAAACTTACCCTAACTTTTCAAAACCTCCAATGACCTCTATCTTGTTAGATAATTTTTGTTATCTAAAACTTAACTTCCCTCAAGTGACCAACTCACCATTAGTGATCATTAATAGAAATTGTCCAAATAGATCATTAATTATTTTTAATGATCAAATTAACCCTGATCTCCTATTAAATATTTGTTTAAAAAATGTAAAAAAACCAAAAAAAAATTATATTTCTTCTTTTGTCCTCCTCCAACCTAAATGTCCCAAGCCCATCACTTGGATGAAGAGATGAATCCCCAAATTTAAAATAGAAGGGTAGTATAATAAATTTGTCATCGCACAATTTTCATTCATGACAAACTCAAAGGGAAGGGTGGTATATCTGTCTATATTATCCATAAAAGTATGAATAGATGTGGTTGGCTTCTGGAATTTTCACTAGACTAAAATACCCTATTTCCAAGGTTTGAATAAGAGAATTAGCAACGGTAAGTATTTAAGCTTGTTTTCTCATTTAATGCTTATGAGAAAATGACTCTTCTTTCTCATTTAATGCTTATTACAAAAATTACACAAAACTCCATTCTTTTTGTTCATAATTGTAAAACAATCCAATGGAAAAAAATGTTATTTAACATCTCATTCAATGCTAGTTAAGGAAAATACACAAAAATCACTCTTTTTGTTCAATAATTGGAAAACAAACCATGGTAATTGCTAAAACCTCCCTTGAAATTTTTAACCGTTGCCTAAACCTCCCTTGAAGTTTGGTAATTGCAATCACCTCCCATAAACTTCTCGACACAATTACAAGTAGACCCCCTTCATAAAATCCTCTAACAAGAGGTATGAAAAACATAGTTTAAAGTTGCAATTTTACCTTTGAGCAATTGATATGAAGAGCAAATTTGGTAAATGCATCAATTCTGAAAAAGAGATTAAAAGGGATTGGGGTAGTGATTGATATGAAGAAAAAAATTGGAAAATAAACATTTTAGTCAAAAGTAAGTATATGGGTATTTTGGACATTTTTGTTCTTTTTGTTAGAAGATTCTAATAGAGAGTCTACTTGCAACTGTTTCAAAAGGTTCATGGGAGGTGATTGCATTTATCAAACTTTAAGAGGGTTTATTAATATAATAAAAAATTTTACGAGAGGTTTTAGCAATTTACCCTTTAATTTATTTAAATTAAAAAAAAACTTGAAAATACATCTTCTATTCTCAATACCCAATGTTGGGCCACATTAACCATCACGAAGAGATTTCCAACTTGTAAATGGATGAACAATTTATTCTTTAAACAATTTTCTTGTTTTTTTTTAAATATTTTTAACATATTTTCATTGGTTCAGATCTTGATCATATGGTGAGCTAATTTTTTATTTTTGTTGCCTTAAAGCCCACATCATTGGATGACAAGACATGATATTTTTTGTAGCAATTAAGTGTTTTAGCAGTGGAAGGAGCTGAAGTTGGATTTATAATTTATCATATAGAAGTTAATTCTTGCAAAGGTAACAAGAATTCAAATAAAATTCTGATGAAAGTAATTGATAAAAATTATTAATTTTATTAATGAACCATAATAAATAAGAATAATAAAAATTTTATTAATGATAAAATTTATTAACAAATACTAATGGTATATATCTAACAGAGGGTGCTGGAAAATTTAAGAGAAATGGCTAAAAGTGAAGGAGAGTTTTGAACAATAACCATAAATATCATGTGATCACTTTTGGTCCATCAAAACTGATGACAAGTTAGTGGAGGGGTGGAATAAGTAAGTCAACCCCAAACAAATAGTGATGGTGAGAGGTTTAAAAGATAAACCCTAGGGGACGTATTTTCATATGGCCAAAACCGTGGGGGTGGTATTGAGAATTTTCTGGCCGGTAAGGATAGGACACATTACATAATGCTGACGTCATGTTTGGGATTGCCATGTGTCATGTGGAATAGTACAATGGGGAAATCAATGGGTGGTGTCACTCATTTAAGATGCATAATAATGATTGTGGCAGCAGTGACATGGCAGAAAGAAACATATATAAGGGGAATCGCCTAAGCCACTTGAGGACAATTTCATAAGTACAATAGAAACACCAAAAACTGAGGGTCACATGTTTGGATGTTTGTTACAGTGGTTGGAGTTAGAGAAATAATGGCTGTTTGGCTTGCTTCCATCTACATAGAAGCTGTCTGCTGTGTTCTTCTATCTCCCAGAAGAAGAAAAAAAAAAGAAAATGATCATTAGAATTAGGAAAAAGAAAATGGTCATCAGTGTTCTAAGACTCAAATTTCTTGATTTAGTTGGACTTTCGACAACTCGAATAATCACAAGTTGGACAAGTTAGAGAACAAAATCTCATGAGATAGAAAATATTGCAAAAAAGCACTGAGCCCTACTAATTTTGTTGTTTTTTTTTTGTTGATAAAGATAGTTAAATAAAAAAAATACAGCAGGAGGGAGAGCCCATGTACGTCTGCATATAAAGCAGTTTTTTTGAGAGACAAAAGAAAAAAAAAAGTATGCATATAAAGCACCCAAACTTAAGGCTGCATTTGGATGTGATGTAAATCAAGAACCGATGTAAAATTTACATTGATTTGCTTTTGTATGCATTTGGTAAAAGAGTGTAATTATTATCAACGTAAAACTATACTTCGGTTCAATTCTGTGTGCATTTGGATGGAGTATAATTTTACGTCAACAATAGATGTAAAACCTCATCACCTTTAAAGTTTTACATCGATAATCGATGTCAAAACTACATTGATTTTCAAAATGCAACGGTCATTATATATACGGTTCAGTGTAAAACGTCATCGATGTATTTTTACAATGATGATGTTTTACACCTCTTCCAAACGCAGCCTAAGTTAGCCATGCAGTTAGCCATGCATTTGGCTTCAAGAAAAAAAGAAAAATCTTGGTCAAAGAATTGATTTCTCATCTGTTGTGATAGCACTTCCTTGCGATTCCTCATCAGTAAGATGCAAGCACACCAGATATCAAATGAAAACTCCAAGTCCGAGCTAGAGCTATCTGGGTATTGGGAGGGGAAATGAAAGCTCCAAAGGTTTCGAATACTTTTGTGAGAATGAAACATGTTACTCCTCATGTTTGGAAGCTGTTAATAATGTAGATAGTACTAATAATATAATTTGGCTCATGGAATTTTTCAATCGAAGCTTATGATCGATCCTAGTAATGAAATTTGATCAGCCACATACATATATTAAGTAGGGAATTGAATTAAAATGTATAAACTCAATCCCCACCATCTGGGTCCATGTTTCAGAAGAAAAAAAAAAAGATCAGTAAAAACAGAAAATTAATATACTCCCCGATGATCAGTTGTTGCAATTAAGACGGCAGCAATACTACTAGAATTGCGCACATATACAGAAAATTAAAAGCATTGAACTAGAAGATGAAGAATGAAAATGAACAAACCTTATCTGAGTAATAAGATAACAGCGAGACCCTGGATTAATTATAACACACTCATTTCTAAATCTAGAATTAATGCATAGCATCATGAGCAATCAGCCTTAAATTGAGCAGATTGACTGCTCATGATGGTATATCATCACCTCACGACGAAGCCCTAATGTGTGCTGGCTGCAGAGACCAAATTAAAACTACCTATCGAAATCCCCCACCGAGACTCGGAGCCCAATAATCCGCCCCGTTGTCACTCCCAACATGCAAAGTGCAAGAAATGGGTACGAGGCACAGCCCTCTACTCCTCAGGTCTTTCTTCGGCTCATCCTCAGAATCCTGTAACATTATCATCATCAACACAGAGTTAATATAATTACTATTGATATCACAGTTCAGTTGATGATAGATGGGATTATTGCTTAAGTAAGAGTTACTATGAAGTAATTAATAGCAGGAGCACCTACCTGCTCAGGAGTTCCTCTTCTTTTTATGCAGTTATCATTCAACAACTATACAAAAATAATAGCAAAAAATTAAAATACCACCGATCAGAATCGTCATAGTATAGCTATATTTTTCACTGTTTATCATTAATCTAAACTCAGAAAACCTTTCTAAAGCTTATAAAGCTGAGTTGGGTGAAAACTTTATTCATTGGATACCCTTTTCTTGTTGAAGAAAACAATTCATAAAATTTTAGCTTTTCAAATTCAAGCTTGTATATGTAATTTAATTTGCTTTAATTTTGAGGAGGTAATGGACCCAATAAAGCATACCTGACCAGGGTCTTCAGGAAATATGCAATTCCTCTCCCCTTGAACCTAAACAAGAAATTATGCAATACTAATTCAATATATAATTAAGCAATACACAGAATTAATGAAAGCAAATCCATGAAGACAAGCACGAATATAATGGGCGTACGACATATATACCAACGTTTTAATTTTTGAACCACTAGCATACGTGCACGTTCTCAAACACGTGTGTGCATGTTACACGAGAGAGAGAGAGAGAGAGAGAGGAGAATGCTTTGGAAAACGAAGTATTATACAGTTACTTACAGACTGCTGTTGCCCCATGTTTCCTGATCCAGTACCCAAGTACGGGGAGCTGAGAGCCTGCATTCGAGGGGGAGAAATTGAGGGAATATGTTTAAGAACCTGAGTATACAAACTTCGATAACTAAAAGAAGCCAAAGAGCAGAGAAAAATGAAGCTTTAACTGCATGCCCTCACAGTGATTCATGGTTGTTTGCGCAAATTTAAAGGGGGGAGAGAGAGAGAGAGATCACCTCAATTTGACTCTGAAGGAATCTAATATACCCAATAGCTTCTAACAAGACCGAAGCCGTGTCAGTCTGCAAAAGGGAGAAACAAAAACAACCAAAACCCAAGTCCTCTTCAGGGCCTCTTTAATGGAAAAACGAGAAATAAAAAACAATAAATATAAAGAGAAAGAGAGCTTAGGATTTAAAAAAAAAAAAAAAAAACTTTATGGGCTTCACCATAAAAAAACTCTGTATTATTCTCTATTTCTTACACATTCTAAACATTATATTGCAGACTGCAGAGTTTGATGTCATACCTTCCCAAATGGAGAAACTAGCTGGTGGAGGGCTGTTATTCTGTCACCTAGTTTCTCCTTCCTCACCTGGTAAAAACAAAAAAGAACAGAAAAAAAGAAATCGATAAAGATGAAGACCACTTGATATCACTTGTCTGCGAAAATTTTCCGGGTTTATGTTGTATTGTCCTTAATTTTTCCTCCACTGGATGGACCAGATGAGAAACAGATAAAGAATCACACATGTATGAGAAATGGACAACCAAAAAAGGCCAATCACAGAAACAAACATGCGCACAAGCACAAACAGATAGATAGATAGAGAGATAGATAGATAGACAGGTAGAGAGAGAAAGAGAGAGAGAGAGAGAGATCTACTGAGTTTTGTATCAACTACCTTGAAGGTAGATTGTGCTGGAGGAGGCTGAACCCTAGCCTTCTTCAATGCCCCTCCAGTGGCTGTGCTGTTACACTAAAAAATTTCCAAAAGAAAAAGAAGAGAAGAAGAAAATAAGAACGGATACAGATTAAAGTTCTTCACCTACTAAAGCAAATTAAATCTAAAACAAGACAATTAGGGCGTGGCATGCTGCCTGAAAGCAACGAAAGATGAATGAATTCAAAGCTTATGAGGCTCCAAGTTCAGCCTTAAAATTGAAACAAGAAAGTTAATCTATACAGATCGTTCTCACCTCAGATGAGTGATCTGGTTGTTGATGCTTTCCATCTGACTTGCTGTTAGAGAAATCCAACATATTGCTGCTGAAACTAGTGACGCAGGATCTTGGAGAGGAAGCAGGCATGACTTGAGACCAAGAAGACCTCGCAGACTGAAATTCTTCATTTCCATGACCATATACGTAACCATTCTCAGAGACCTCTTGTTTAACATCAACAGAAGGAACACTACTTGGCGATTGATAGAGCAATTGGTCTTCCCAATTTTCCAACTTCTTAGCCTGAAAATGACCTAGAGCACTTCTGTCTTCCTCGCCTACCAAGCCACCCCTGAAAGATAATGATCAAAATGTTCACCTTCTTGACTGTAAACCCATATCAAGAAAAAAAAACTAATAAGTAGAGATGGATAGAGAGGCAGTAGAGAGGGAGTTGACCATAAGGAAATGGACAAGAAGATCTCTAGATCAACCCATGCAAAAAAAAGAAAAACAAAAAAATACAGAAGAATTATTAGATGTAGATATATCATTTCTGGATCAAATTCTAGGTAGTATAGAAGATAAAAGGAGATTATGAAGATGAAGAAAAGAAGATAGATAGAGAGATAAGCATAGATATAGAGTACTAGAGAGAGAGAGAGAGAGAGAGAGAGAGAGAGAGAGAGAGGTTTACAGTAGTAGTTGGCTCCATGACTCTGGAAGTTCTTGGTAATCATGCGGCCAAGATGTTAAAGGAAGAGAGGAAGGTGGAGGTAGTGCATACTGAGGAAAAAGAGAGGTGGGAGAAGGAAGGAGAGGTGAGGGTTGTTGAGCGGGTGGGCGCATGGCATTAATGTTCCACCAGTTAGGGCTTCCGGTGATCATTTGTTGCACCGGCGAGCTCTGCAAGACACCTCGATTCATGCCTCAATTTCCTTCCCTCTTCTCACTTTGTCTTGTTTCCTTGTTTGAGCTCTCAAACTATTCTTGTAGAAGCTTTGAGAGTTCTTGGGGCTTCCTACTTTGTGTGAGGCTGAACAAAGCCTAAAACTTGCTTTGAAGAATTTGATACATGGGTAGAAACTTTGTTTTCTGTTTCTTCTCTGTCCTTTCTTTCTTTATTGATTTTTTCTTCTTTGTTTGTTTCTTTTATGTTTTTCTTTTCTTTCTTGCTTTTTTCTGCTTTTGCTTTATCACAAAGTGGGGCAGAAAAGGTGGTGACAGTGTTTTCAGACCAAAAGGAGTGGTTTTAAGAGCTTATTTCTTTAATTTGGGTTAATATTAGGTTAGGGTTAGGGTTAGGGTATGATGTTCATAGAGATCTGTGGTCATCCTTTTCTCTTTACTTAATCAATTCAAGAAAGCATTATCTGACTAACCTTTAGCTCCCAAAACTAATAAATTAATATGAGAAAAATTTTTAAATTATTTTTATAAGAAGAGCGTATACAATGCATCTGAGGTCTACCATGGTCCATATAACCTCCTAGTACCTCTTCATTGCACCCATAATTCCCTTCACTAAAAATTATCAATCTAAATGTCTCAACTGATGGGCCCCCACTTTGGTTGGTTTAGAGCAAAGTGTACACGGTGGCCCACCACTCGAATGCCATGGTAAAGGATAAAGACAACGTCATTGTCAACCGCATCAATGGCTCACATCTCCCATGTATGGTAGCTAACATAAACCCAAGCCTACCGTAACACTGACTTTGTCTTGGACAAGTTATACATGGACATGAAAGGAACACAGTTTTAACTTTTCGAGTGATGGAAACCCATTTATCTCTACTGTATACAAGAATAACCAGGACCCACCAGTTTCTGGATCCCACGGCAGAAAAATCTCGTAAATCAAGCAAAAGATCACAAACAGCTGAACGATAATTGATTGATCGTAGAACGCCGACACGTACCCGATACGTTACAACTTACAAAACAACTAGCCCTACCCCCTACTGAGTGACTACTGTATACAAGCGTGTATCGTGGGGGTAAAATACTAAAAATTAGATCGAGAAATGAGAACCCGAGACGACACGCGTTTCGAGAGAGGTCAAAATCTAGGGTTTATAAACCCTAACCCTAGGTAACGACGGAATGATTACGAGAGGGAATGTTTTATTCCACAAAATTCCATAAGCATTATATTACTAGTTACCATCAGAATACGAATAAAATAAGAGTAAGAGGAATAAGGAGATAGTTGATAGAGTTTATCATTTAATTTTATACCACTACATCACTTCACATCGACTACTTTCAAAATACGTCTACAGTTCTACTCGTAATAGTGGACCAATTATGATACCTCCGGGTCCCATATATGATATATGGGGCCGATGTGTCTTGTGGTGATTGGCCAACTGCCCCAGTGTTCAATTCGTTCCACCTGATTTTAGCAAATTTTATTTATGTATTTATTTATTTTGATTTAATAGGCCAAGTAGGGACTCTGTTCCGTACTGCTAAAATCTTTGTCTGGAGGCCGCATGACTTTTCTTATGGAATACACCCCTCTCTCACGGCTCTCCCTCCCTCCATCCTTTTCAATTTAACATATTTATGTCTAAATCCTTCTTTTTAATTCCTTTTGGCTCTTTATTTTTCTCCATGAAAGCAGTCCCTCTTGTCTTTACCTTCTCTCTCCTATATTCCTTCACTTTTCACTTCTCTCTCTATTATTAAAAAGAAAAAAAAGGATGGGACATCTATTTATCTTGTATCTATACAAGAGTTCATTGGCTCCCCACATGAGCCTCACATGCACACTTTAGAGTGCAATGAAAATATTTTCCATAATGTTTCCGATGCACGGTTGAGATGTGCTGCGAGAACACATTGTATGAATCAATGCAAATTCTCTATACAAATAATTTATTAAAGAATCTATGATCTCCTCATAAGGAAAATTAATCAAAACTCTGAACCATATACGTAATTGTGCTTTTTATTCTTTTTTTTTTTTTCTTGAAAGAAGGCCAAGAATGTGATGGGTTTGGTTATAAAACGTGCCATCTTATGTGGGAACAACGCCATCATAAGATGGTGTGTTTTGTCCTCTTGGAATTTTGTGGCATGATATACCCTAATGAAAGGCCTCAATGTTGGTCCCGACTATCCAGGGTCTTGGGAAGGGTAGATTATCGTTTTTGATATATATATCGCACAAAGTGGCTGCTTTCAAACTCGAACCTGTGTTCACACACTGGTTTGTATGTGTTTTACTATTACACCAAGCAATAGACCCAGAAATCCTTGTAAATGACCATCTGAATTTCTATAATTTGAACTAAACATTGATTGGAATTTATCTTTGAATTAACCACCATTGGATGTGAAGATATCATTTACATGCTATTAGGATTACTGAATTAGCAAAATTTTGAGTAGGGATCAGACATTTTTGAAGGCCGGGATTAAGGATATGTATTAAAATTAATTAAATTGTAGTGCTGATGGTATATAGGTGATTGTTAGACCTGTGCATTTAACTAATTAATTCTTTGAACTTAATTGCCTAATAATTTTCTTAATAAGCATTTCTTCAGAAGTTTAACACTAAAATCTTTGAAATTAAAAGAAATGGCTAGGGCTTGATTGACCATTGTATGTCTTACCTAGCCTTTTTTTTTTCTTCTTTCTTTTCATTAGTTCTCTACTGAAAACAAAGAGTCTGCTTTATTTTCCTTTTCTTTACTTTTTGCTTGTTTTCTCATTTATTGTCCTCAAAGCTGTAGTGGTGGGGTTGCACGGTTTCCCTTTTCTAGGAACTGTCTTATGTTCTTTGCACCTGATCAAGCAAGAACAAGTTCATCCACCGGGAAATGCGTGACAAATTTATTTGCAAGCAAAAAGCTTAAGCCCCAGAGAGTCTTGATATCTCCATTGGGGTAATGATCTCTGTGACAAACTATAATTTGAATTCTGGAAGTCTGTACATAAAACTTTCTGCAACCCAGGAAGTTCATTTAGTTCTTTTTCCCCACAATCCAATTGATGCAGGTTTACATATGATCACTCATAATTCATCAAAGAGTATTTCAGTTGATGAAAATGGTGCAGTTGACGACATTTTCGGCTTGCACTACAGTACTGTACATATTAGATTGCTCTCTGCATATCAGTTAAGCAAGGCCTAAACTGTGGTTTAGGCTGCATTAACTTGTTCAGGCACAAAAAGTAAACGAATACATAATCCAGGGGAACCCATGGATTGGTATTGCAGACCTACCAATCTTAACTGGAGAGAATTTCTCTGGTCTTTAATGAAACAGGAAGCTTAGAAATTTGGTGTGTCAGCTCCCTGAAAATAGAACATAAACATCAAAGGGTTCATGGTTGTGTCTTTTTTTATCATCCAAGAAATTAATGCCTGATCATTGAATTCCTCATTAGATAATTTAAAGTTCCCTAAATATGCCCTATCCCTTTTCAGGATCCCTAGAAGGTTCATTATAATTTATAAAACCTTCAATATCTTTCAGTGTTCATGAGACCCTAACCCTAGTTTTAGAGGGGCCCTCATCTCTCAGCTTAAACCCTAGCTTAGCGCCATAGCCATGAAGGAGGTGCTACAGGCCAGTTTGTCTTCTCAAACAAGACAAGCATATAGAAAATCTTGGGATTATCATGTCTTCTCTCTTTTTCTTCTAGAGTATATAGACTGAAATTTTTCAATGGTTAAAAGCTTGTAGGATTCTAGATACCTAGCTATGGGAATGAGTATGTGACATTGTAAACCCACTAACTAATTAATCATAAAATACTTAATGGCTTCCCTTAAATTCTGGTATGGAGATGTACTTGTTGTAGGCCTAATTACACACCCAAGTGCTAGAGGAATTTGGAAGATGCATTCAGCTGCACTGGCAATTGTCTATAACCTCATTAAAAATTTGTTAAAATGCTAGCTAACTTTATCTCATTATTGGCTTGCATTTTACCAATCGATCAAAGAAAATGCACATTAATTATTCTAATTTTCTTTCTCAATTTCCTTTCCTTCCTTGTTTCTCATGTATAAACTGTGATTGAATACTCAAACTAAATATTACCAAAGCTGGGGGTGTAAATTAAACCATGCCTTCTTTAGTGGCTGCCATTTGAGAGGGCTTTCACACATGATGGATTTTGAACTTGATAGCTAAAATTGGCCATTGCACAGCCATCCGCACAGCTTACCATTAAATTAAAGCCTCCTCTATGGTAGCTTCTTCAAAGCAGCTACTTAGTGCCCGTTTGGGAGGGCTTTCAGAATGCCAGAAGCTGTGTTTGGTGAAAATCCGGAAAGTGGATCACTATGTTTCAGACACCAGAAATGCAGCAGAAATAGGAAGATATTCCAGATAACCACTCCGAAATATGGGTGCTCAACTACCCAAACGGGCTCTAACAAGCTAAGATAAGGCTGAGCCCTCTCCCAAAGTGGAAAAAACTAAAGCAGTCAGATTAAATACACCTTGATACCTTTTTTGGACGGTGCTAATTTATTAGCACAAGTTAGCTTCATTTAAACTGAGAACTAGCTAGARTGAAATTTCACCATCTTGCATGGGGAGCCACTTAAGATCATGATGGATAGCCGATCCTAGCTATAGAGGAAAAGATCTTGATGTGCTTCACTGTTGAAACAAGTCATATAAGAGCAACAGATCTTGGCATATAAAACAATTTCTAATTAACTTGTGGAAAACTTTCTGGTTATTTTCGGCAATGCTTATCAGGGTGCCAACTGATGAGGCATATAGAAGAAAATGACTTGATTCTATAAGGATGATTCTTGTCTTGAAAAGGATTTGCGTGCACACTTGTTGCAGCATCAATTACATCAATTTCTATATTATTCTTGTCCACACAGAATTTTTTTATGATCACTCATATAAAAATGGTCTATTCCCCCTCTCTTTTCTTGCGATTTAGTGTTTTAAATATGTGAATCTTGTTCTTCTAAGAAGAGGGATAATGTATGCATGATA